AGAATATTGCAGTTTGACAGTCTTCTTTACAATTTCTTTTTTTTTTATGGTGATTCAGTTGATCATCCTATTATAATCATCAACAACGTCCAGAGACAGTGGAGTGAGAGAGGACAGTGTATAAATTAAGAGGCAACTAGGATAACGCTCTTTCACCGGATATTCAGCCAGGTTTAGGAGCAAAATAAAGTTCTTATTTATTTTTTTTAAACAACATGGCTTTTTGGACATCGCTAGTGGAGTTACTGTCCAAAAGCTAATGAAGCAAGACCCGCATTTGATCGATTACCGTAAGCTGTTTGCCCGTTTTCAACAAGTTAAGGAAACAATGAAAGAACTGTAGACTTAGATAACAGAAAAGTAAAAAAATGAAAACAGTAACAAAACAAATATCATTAATTCATGACCATACAAACAAGTTCATCACAAACATTCTTTAGCTGTCTAACTTTTTTGCTAGCCTTTCTGAGCAAGAATGACCTGTTACCCGTTTATCCGTGAAATGCCGTTTTGCCAAAAAATATCACTAGATACTCATTGCCTGTCACATTTACCCGTAACCTGCGTCTGGTTGTTTCCCAGAAATTTACTGGTAGTTCAACTCAGTTCTTAATTCTAAAGAAAATAAAAAAAGCATACAACTACACTCAGTAATGGTACTACGAGATTTTTAGCTTATTATTCGTTCTTTACATCAGCTTTTCTTTTAAAGCTTCCTAAGGGGAAGTAGCTGAGAACTGTGATGAACAGCATCAGTGGGAGAAGTATAAGCAAGAAAATAGAAATGAAAAAAAAAAATTACACGGCTAAACTGTTATTACAAACTTTTTTCTACATTTTCACCGTTATTACCGATAAGAAGAGAAGCATACGCTGAACACAGTGAGAATTCCTATAACAACTGGATTATCTTTGTGACGGCTAAAAATCCGTGAATGTTCAGTGCCTTTGAGCAGATGATCCGAGAAGAACTTTGTTGCCTTCAAAAGACGCTATCCCAATTAGACTCGAACTTTGAAAATGTTTCTGAGTACCATTCAAGGCTTTCTTGTGCCATATGCTCGCGGCAAGTCTTAAAAAAAGGAAATATTTTGGTTATTGCAAAAATAAAATGGTTTTCTAAAATTGAAAAGTTGGAAGTAGTTTTGCGATAATGAACTATTTTTTTTTTCAGTTGTAAATGAAGTAAATGAAATTTGTTTGCTAAACATCCAACCAAAAAAATTCTTTTTCTGCTAGTGGTTTATCTTGTATAATGGAGCTGTGCTGGCCGGTGTTCATAGGAGTTTCAAAGAGACTGCTGAGGAATAAAAAAAACAAAAAGAACAGTATGAACTATTAATACAAGAGTAAGGTTCCTGCAGCTCATAGCATTTTTCGTCGCTTATTTACATAGTAGAAATATTTTGAAAGCAAAAAAAAAAAAAAGATCAATTTTTTTTTGTCATTTTTTGGAGCTGGCCCGGCATCATATTTCTTATTGTAACAATCAATGATATTTGGTCACAAAAATTTGCGCATTTCATCAGGTGCATATCAGTTGAAAAGCAGCGGCAAATTTCGTGCTTAGAGCCGCGTAATTCACGTGAACTCTGCAATTATTGTTGTCTAATGAAATTGTTGTGTGCCAGTACTTGTCAGCAACTGAAAACGAAAAACCCAGACTGAAACACCGTAAGAAATTAATCTACCCCTCTGCCTCTTCCTCCCAACCGAAGAACAAACAGTTCAATCGGTGGTTAAAACAAACCAGTTGAGTGGGTTTCTTGACAGTAGCTTGCTGGCCATTTCTGTTTACAACACAGAATAGTATTGTTAGTTCACTTCAAAAATACCTTTTGTTTTCCTAAGACCCTATCGTATTGAAAACAAATATCAGTCTGCCAACAGCATTATGAACATAGGAAGCGAAAAAGATGAGCTTAGCGAATAAGACAGAAACTTTCCGACATTAGAACGTAGCAGTTACCTGAGGAACAGAATTGGAACGTTGTAATCGTTTAAATTCCAGTCCTCTAAACCATTTATGCTCCCGAGCTTCTTGCATGTTACTGTAACCCAGCCGTGTATACGGATCCGGGTGGCACAGTTTCTGGATCAGATCAATGACTTCAGATGAAAGGCGTGACGGCCAAATAACATTCCTGTCTCCAAATCCACGAAGTACGGCTTCATAAATTTCCTCATTGTCCTGATACATAAACGGTGGACTAAAAGAGGAATTCATGAAGTTTTCAGCAAAGTCAAAAAAGCTGTTCGAAGACTCCGGTTTTAAGAATTACAAAAAGCCTATTCGAAAAAGCGTTTTTGCTTACTGCTTTTTGGTTTGCACCGTGGAGATCCAGCATCAAAAATAAGCGTTCTATAAGCCACTTAAAATATGTGACCAATGTTTAAAAAATTTTTGATAAATTTTGGCAGTCAGTAATCATTACTCAAATTACGCCAAAAAAAACTCAGATAGAGCGAAAATTTGACACTTCATACACTTTTTTAGTCTAAACGAAGCCCAAAAGTGTAGTCAGGAGAAAAGTTCGACTCAGTTAGAAATGTGCGTATTGATCGAAAAAGTTGTTTTGAAAAAGTAGGTTAGCATCACTAAAAAGTTCTTTGATAGCATCTGTCACTAAAAATACCGAAATTGAAAAAAGACTTACGCTCCAGTAAGCATCTCATAGATAAGAATCCCTAAAGCCCATAAGTCGACTGCTGTGTCATGACCCTGTTGAAGGACCATTTCTGGAGCCACGTACTGAGGAGTGCCAAGGAAAGAATACGTTTTTCCTTGAGGTTCCAACTTTTTTGCGAATCCGAAATCGATCTGAAGAAAAAATTTGGAAAATGAAATAAATAAGAGAAAAAAAAGTCTCCATTTACGTTTATAATATAAGCCACTAACTGTTACTAAGTCACCGTGTCCAAAATACAGGTACTAATAATGCAGGATACTACTCGCACTAAATTGCACTACATTTTTCAAAAGCACAAAAATATGCTACCAATTTAGGCATTCCGCTGGCACTGATGATAACGTTTTCTGGTTTCAGATCACGATGAGCAATACGTCTACTATGCAGATAGTCTAACGCCTCCAAAACAGCGGCACAATAGCGTTTTGAAGTTTGTTCGTTAAGCCAGCGCCTGAAAATCAGACGAAAACCTAATATATTACCTCTTGCCGATAGAAACTGATGATTTTGCTTATGTATTCATGTATATAGATGTTTCAGAGTTGTTGAAGAAGATGACTGGCTCAAACTCAAGACTTCAGAGATTATATACTGTACAGATTCTGTTCAGTTAGATGTTGATAGTACTGTTTGTTTCGAGCATCACTACATCCACATAATTCACAAGCCTGAATTAAATAAAAAACAAAAATATGACCGGTAAAAAACATAAATATACAATACTTTTTATGAATAAGTGTCCAAAGTTCGCTCCCCGTACAAAATTCCATAAGCATATAAAGCCTTTCCGAATCTCGGAATGTACGATAAAGTCTGTAAATTTATTGCATTTCAAAACTTTAGAATAATTGTTTTTTTAAAAGTTTTTTCTTTCAAACGTTTGGAATTATTCGGTTTTCGTTCAACTAGTTCTATTCATCAAAAGGAAAGCTCAGTATACCCATTCATAGACTTCTTTTGCACTGATTTTCCAGACCAAATAAAACGTTTTGAAAGGCTATTTTGAATTCATGCAGTGCCTTTCACAACTCTCTAAGCATTCGTTCCAACTATGCTAACCTCTGACCTTTCAGCTTTATGACCAGGTTAGCATAGAAGAACAGATGACAAGTTCTTCGATGCATTTTAGCCAAAAAGTAAACTAACTTACCGAACGATATACGGATTTTCACATGACAATAAAATATCCCGTTCAGCGATAATGTGTTTTCTTTGTGCCTTTTTTGCAAACATTGGCTTTTCCATTACTTTCAGAGCATAAAGGCGGCTATTAGAATTCCGTCGTACTAAATGAACTTTAGAGAAACCACCTTCACCCAGCGTGTTCACCAATGTCAAATCACTCAAGTTAAGATTCTTGAAGTTCTCACTGCAAAATCAGTCTTCTTTACAACTGCTGACAAATTTCTGCCAAATAATTGTAATCCGATAAGTTTATTATCGTAATTTTCAGTAAACTTCGCCTTAAATGTGAAAATTCACACTTCAAGCGTTTTAATACTTGAAAAGTCGCTGTGCAATAAATATCAGTAGACTCACGAGGATTCTGGTTCCGTTGTCGGACAAACATAAAACGGTTTTCCAAAGTAATCTGGAAACAGTAGCCGTAAAATGAATTTCAGTTGTTCTAATAACGGCGATGACGTTAAAAAACGAAATCTGCAACATATCGGTATGTATATGAGTAGTTGCAAAAGATCAACAACTAACTAGTACTAAAATATACCTCCGAAAAGTATGACTACTGAGAACAGACAGTAATAATTCAATTGCGGATTTAAACATAGAGTTTCATTGGTAGTGCCATCGTCTTTTTAGTTCTAACTTAGGCAGAAACTATCGTAAAATTACTGTTCAACAAAATAAACAGTTTTATTGTATTTATAGTAACAGACAACTGCAATTGAAGTTTTTTATAAGCCATATCCTACCCAACACAGCAATTCTTTTGAATTGCCACCACTGATCTGCGATTTCAAAAAAACTTACAAATGCCAACTGTCCTACTACTAATCTGGGTGAATGCGTCCACCACAAAAAAGAACCCTCTGCCTTAATGTAATGATACCTTAGAATATATCCTTTCACCTGAATAAAACTTTCAAAAAGTAAAAAGTAAATCCCAAAATATGGAAAAATTACGTCAGAAAAAATCTGTTTCGTTGTTTTATCTTGCATGGCAGTTTTCTTCTGTTCAGTTTAATTTCCAAAACAACCCCTATACTTTGATTTCAATTTCAACTTAGTTAGTCACGAAAAAAATCTGACACCAATGACAAGGCAATATTTCTCGATGCTTAGCCTCAACTCAGAACGTTTCCCATGTCCTGTAGACGAAACAGAATAATAACATTTGCTATGCATTCTTAGTAATACTGTACTTTTGGCAGATAAAAATCGTAAACACAATTAACACCATCAAAATAAAAAACTTTCAAAAAAAATATCAAATTCAATTTATCATTTGTCAGTCACCGAATACCTTCCGAGTACTGGAAAAGCCAAAAGTTTTACACCAGATTTGATTTGTTTTCAAAACCAGCTCAAAATTTCCAAACAGCGGAATGCATCATATCTTTTTTTTTTTCTTTTTTTTTTTTTGTGAATACTGTGCCATATATGCTGGTATTAAAAACAAAGTAATACTTCAACACAAACAGGTTAAAGAAAAAAGAAGAGTTACAAAAGTTTCTAAAACTGTTCAAGACTAAAACTAACACGTGATTAGACGTAAGAGACCCCATCGGTATTCGCGTGTCTTCAACAGTATCAGTCACCAAGACTTGTTTACTTTCTACGTTCAACTGAAACAACGAAAAATTAAACAACAAATTAACATAACTTACTCATCCATTACTTCTGCAAATTCAAATAGTATTCTACAAATTGAGAAGTTAAAAAAGTACAATAATCAAATAGAGTATATTATGCCAAAAAAAGTCAACCTGCAGTTACTTTTTTTTTTCATGTCACCTAATAAACTAATATCATTTAATATATATCATAAATGGTATCACAGAAAAATCGTTTACTGTAAATGGTATACAAAAGTATAGGAAAAAATCTCAAAATATTGACAAAAACATAACAAATATTATTAGTCCGTTGTCAAATAACGAGTCTCGCATGCTCACCCGTTCCCTCCTTCCCTATCCCCTTTTCCTATTTACATCATCAGTAATATTTCAACCGTTGATACTGATACTGCGGTTCCGCCTGAATCCGTTTCTACTGCCCTCTATCTTCTATTTCACGTCTCACCTGCTAATGAAAAGAAACTGTACCCAAAACTGTTTTCTCAACTGGAAAACTAAACCTCTAAATTTACCACATGGCCTCTTTAGCAAAATGTTTTTTACTTTCAAAGAACGAGAAGAAGAAGATTTTCAAAACAACAGAAAGAGCAGAAACTAGAAAACTAGTAACTACAATAAAAATGGTTAAAGGTAAGTTAAAAAAATTGAAACAGAAAAAACACAAATGCATATTGACTGTAGGTTTTTTCTTGTTACATGCATTCAAAAAGCTGTTAACTTTCATTGTTTTTAAATGAGACAAAATCAAGAAAAATCAAAAAAATAAATTTTTTTTTTGTCCCTGTAAGCTGAGTGGATGTCGTTAAACTGTCGTTTACTGTTTTGAACAAATTAAAAATTGAATAAATTTAGTAAAAAAAAATTGATTGAAACTAAACTTATTGCTCAATGACTTCACCATAATTTTCTTGCCCAGTTTATTCAGTCAAGTTTCTGTGAAAAACCTATTCATGATAATGACGTTGGAAATAACGATGACAACGACAACAACAGTAACAACAAAATTGATGACAATATTTGTGAGAAAGAATCAAAACAAAAATGTTGTTAAGAACAGAATAGAAAACCTTTTTCCAAAATCATAAAACCGGTTCAATTTAGAAAAAAAGAATCTAAAAGAAAAAAAATGATAGTCCAAAGTGAAAATGAGGAGGAAAAAACATTGAACCCGATATAATGTCAAAAATTTTTAAACAGTTTCTGGAGAATAACAACAAACAATTAGGGTGGAGTAGAGGAAAGCCAATAGCAGCAAAAAAGTTGATGAAAAGAATCATTTAGTAAGCAATAAATTTATTAAACTTATTTTTTTTTTTTTTTTTTTTTTTTTT